ACAGATTGCTGCACAGACTTACCAGTGGAGATGTGCCACCTCCGGGGGCCAGCAGACTGGCAAGGCGAACTGAAAGCATCGAACGTCTTTTGGAAAGATGCTGCTGACATGCTAGAGCCACGTAGGGAACACACAGCGGTTGCATTCAGGGACAGTATCTTCATTGCTGGAGGCCGCAATTTGCAGGGTTACTTGAACACGATCGATGTCTTCACCCCGCCCGACAACCAGCGACCGTTGGGACAGTGGACGCGCCTGGCTACCTGGAGCACGGGAAGGCCAACTGCTGCTCTCGTCGTTTGTCAGGACAGACTGTTTTCTTTCAGTAAGTCCATAGCTTTGGTACCCTGCCATTTGTACCGGGCCCTAAGGACGACCGTCTAATGTTCAGAATGAGGGATGGACAGGTCTCACAGTTTGTCCGCTGATTTCCCTCCTTGGAAGTGGAAGTTACGTCATCGCTTCTAGCTGTCCGCGAATAGCCTTATTAACAACATAAGAGATAAGCGCGTGCCTGGCTTGTACTTAAAAGATACGTGCAGCATTGAAAAAAACGTACCGAAGAGTTAAAATGGCCCTTGAACTGGTGACTTTCTTATATCCAAAAGACATTTAAGAGCAGATCGCAGGGTGTTTTGCTGTTAAGACAGTCTCTTAAATGTTGTATTGTTTACACTCCGCCTTTTATGTTTAAGAGCACAATAGAGAAGCATCCTACACTCTGATGAAGTTCGAGCCCCCAGCAGATCCGTCTTCTTCATCGCAGGGGAAGTTTGATCAATGGGAATGGGTGCAGTGCGGATGGGTGTTGGGCTTTAAGGAGATCCAACGAGGTTTCTCTCTGTCCTAATTTCAGAATTTGTCTCAATTTTATAACACTTGCGTCCAGTACATCACTTTTTATGTTCGCTTTATTGATTTCCTCGTATTAAAGTGATGCTCATGTGTGCTTTTCTTCGAATCTCGCCTTCTTTCTTTCCACAAACACTTGTAGTGCCGCAATACCCCATTCAGCCCAAGGGTCCGCGTGAACTAAGCATCCGTCCTCATGTGTGTTTCTATGCTGGGCTTGTCGAAAATGAGAGCGGTACA